TGGTTTTTAATGGTATGAACCGCGACTCTGGTTCGGTGAGTGGGTTTACACAGGATGAAAGCGGAAGAGTCTGGGCAGTGAGCCAGCACCGTTTTTGTCCCCAGTGCTGACACCTTCTACAAGGAGGGGGATGAGATCCTCCTCCGCTCACAGCCAGCTTGCCTTCACCTGCATGGCCCAACTCTCCAAACCTTAAGGAGGGACAGAGGGATGCAGGCACAGAAGAAAAGAGAACAAGGACGGTGCTGCTTTATTTTCAAATACTAAAGACTAAAGCCCTTTGGCTGCTTGGTATTGTAAGACTGTCCCTCTGCAATCTGCCTCCTTGTGCAGTGGAATGTGGCACTGGCCCCAACCCTGCTGCTTCATCTGAAGGTATGGATACATATCCCAGCAGCGGAGTTAAGGAAATGGTTTAGCTTCAAAGCATAGAGTACCGAGGCCTTCAAAGCAGTCTAGAACAGTGACTAGCCTTTAACTTTTCAGCGTGCCACTTACTTAAGGGTGATCTACTTATGCCTTTTTGGAAAGTGCATTATTTTCTGCACACTGTGCCTTAGCCATGCAACCTTAAAACTAGCCCAGTTCATTACTGCGTACTTGTACAAGTTGGATACCCCAGCAAGACGCCAAAGTGCGAAGCATAGAATTAAGCATTGCCATTTTATTCCATAAAATTGGTTAAACAGCACTCCCAAAGAGTTTAAAATGCAACATTCACACTGCCAGAAGGCAAGTTTATTCTTGTGATCCCCCATTTTACTTTACAAAAAAAACCCCAAAGCCTGGCAAGTAGTTGCAAGCTCCCTAACTTAAAAAAAAGACCTCATTTTCCCTATTTATTGGTTGTTGTAGTAAAAGTTAATATACCAAGGGAAAGACTGCTCTACCTTCAGAATTTAAGAATGCTGAACATCTAATGAGCTAGGTTAGCCTATGCAATTTTGCTCAGTGGTTATCAGCACCAGGATTTTAAAACAGTCTCCAGCATTAATCACACTCAGTTAAATTGTGCAAGTTTTAACAGAAGCATGGCTCCTGTTAAAACACTGAACAGTCTCTGGTGGGCTGGGAGGGAATTCTTCTGTACCTTGGCATCTGCAGGACCAACACCTGAAGCAATATGCATCATGAACAGGCTATGCAGAGCCACTGCTGCAAGACTACCTCACAGTACCTCTGCAGGACCATCTCTGCCACTCATGCTTTGCAGATGTTTCTTTCTACCACTTATCCTACTATCCTATCCTTAGCACAAGTGTCAGTGTGACAAAAATCCAAGCAGACTTCAGTGAAGAATCCATAATTTATTCTTTGATACAACTCACATGAGAAGGGTTCGTGTCTTTAGGGCTACACCTATTACCTTTTAATTTTTCAATGGATACCTGAAAAAGCCATGATGTTTCAACACCTATGTTTATTGCAAGAGTCAGAACCTGGTAAAGATACATATGAACAATGCACGCTTCATTACCGAGCATGAAAACAAGATCTCAGTGCTTGCTTTATTGTGCTGGTGCCAGTTAAGAGAAGAAACAAACATCCCAGAAATTACACAGAAGTAACCAGGACAGCAGTGAATTATGCATCCTCTGAGAGGGAACTTCGTCTGGCTATGGATTACAAGGAAAACTGGGCTACTTTAAGGACTGTTGAAGGACCCACATGTTACACAGGCTTATAGAAAGGGTGCAACTACTTTTGACATCATTTTAGTGCATGTGCAGAGGGTGACCTTAAGTGACTGAACACTCAAGAAGTTACTCAAAGATGAAGCTCCCGCACTACTCCTGCTTCCCTTTACCAACACTTTTTACTTTTCACACTTAAGGTTTGGGCCATCTGAAGGAGAGACTACCCTGTAGTCCTTTAACAGTTCAGATCGCAACCTCCCACTAACAGCAGTTAAGCAAGTGCACTCTTTACAAGTGTCACTTTACACCTCACAGGAGTTTCCCGCTATTTTGTAGTTCTCCCATTGGGCACTCCACAAACCTTACAGCCTCTCCCACAGTTACCTAGTGATTTACAACAGCTCTTTATAAAAAGAGACACCTCCATAGCCCATAGGAGCCGAGAGACCCACCACCACACACTCTTCTTACACTGCAGCAATTCTTGCAGAGGACTCCTCTTTTGAATGTTAAGTATTACTTCCCTTGTAGGGGCTTAAGAAGTTTTGGTTTTCCAGATCATATAAGAAATTCTATTAGTGGCCACAGCCTGACTCCTGCTTCCCTTTACCAACACCTTTTACTTTTCACACTTAAGGTTTGGGCCATCTGAAGGAGAGACTCGTTACCCTGTAGTCCTTTAACAGTTCAGATCGCAACCTCCCACTAACAGCAGTTAAGCAAGTGCACTCTTTACAAGTGTCACTTTACACCTCACAGGAGTTTCCTGCTATTTTGTAGTTCTCCCATTGGGCACTCCACAAACCTTACAGCCTCTCCCACAGTTACCTAGTGATTTACAACAGCTCTTTATAAAAAGAGACTCCTCCATAGCCCATAGGAGCCGAGAGACCCACCACCACACACTCTTCTTACACTGCAGCAATTCTTGCAGAGGACTCCTCTTTTGAATGTTAAGTATTACTTCCCTTGTAGGGGCTTAAGAAGTTTTGGTTTTCCAGATCATATAAGAAATCCTCTTAGTGGCCACAGCCTGAGGTGCATGTTCCAACCTCTCCTCCAAATCAACTTGCAGGTGCCACAGAGCCACACACTCCAACAGAGAAGTGCAAAGCATGCCTGCCTTTCAACAGGTTAGCCATAAAGGGATTTATCTGAAATCAAAACATGCTTTGGTTGAGGACTAGTTTAAAAACTATGCTGCAGAATCAGTGGCATCAGATTAAAGAAAATTTAAGCTGATCTTCAACAGCTCCAGCCTCAACAGCTACATGTTGATTTGAACTTCACTTGGTACTCCCCGCTGTCCATTATGCTTCTCATGAACAGCTGTGATGTCAATTGCTAAGTTTCCCAGAACCACACCCACTTCAGTTTGACATAAAACTAGGAGGGAACAGGACTGCAGTTGTTGTAAGGCATCAGACAAAACCTACTCACCCCTAGGAAAAAAACAACCATCCTTTCTACTCATCTTGCACTGTTTTTTGATAAGGTGAAGGGAAGACTGTCCAAGTATTAGTTCAAATTACATTTTGCTTGACTCCCAGTGATGTTGCAGAGTCAACTACAAAATTCCACTTCCCACACAGGAACCAGCTCAAAAAAGCATGTTGATCTCTGTTTGTAGGAAATAGGGAAGACTGTAACCCTGAAGGTCAGACTGTTAAATGTTATGCAAGTGCTTATCTTACAAGCGAAAGACTGAGGAAAACACTTGGTTACTACTTCAAGATGATCCCCGTAAGCACTTCCCTTGCACAAGAATAGTTTGTCATTCTGGACCTAGCAGCAACTTAAAGCAGAGTTCTCATTTACACCTAATAAATGTACATTGATAAACTGTGAGCTTAAACCAAAACACATAGATAGTTTAGTACCACAGAGCTGTCAATGGAGGCTGAGTCAAAAAGGAAGACCTCTTAAAATGTCTTAAACTTGACTTTTGCACCAGAGTGCATCATCTCAGCCTGACAGCTACCACATTGCTGCAATAACTCATCTTGACAGTTGCTATAAAGCCACCAAGCAGAGTAGGGAGGCTTCAGGTATACTTGGTGTTTATGAAGGGATAAAGTCCAAACCAGACTCGTACCTGGTAGGTCATCACAGGAGAATACAGAAGTTGCACATACTCAATTACTGCTCAGATTCTTCACCAGACTGTTGCCAGAGATCAAGTAACCACTTGAGCTTAGCAGTAAGCGCTCAGAATTATTTATTCCCCCAACTCCCAATATTAAACTGATATTAGCCCCAAATCCTGCCACTTAGGATGGTTAAAAAGGATTTATCTGCATGCTGTTAAACCAAGACTCTGGGACCCTGGGAATCACGGCAGCATTCCTAAGGCCATCAACACCAAGCAGGCATTTACTTGAGGTTGGACTGCAAGAGAAAGGGAAAAAGAGGGACTTGCAGAAGCAGTTACATTTCCAAAGGCCAATAAAAACTACTAAGAAAATAGATCTGTACCAAAAGTAGTCTTAAAAGACTTGCCATGTGGTTCAGTAGAGACAGATATGAAAACTATGTGTACCTAACAGGGTACCCATCTACCCCCACCGACCTGTTTAAGGCAAGTTTCACACACAACGATGCTTGGTGTGAGCAAGTATTTGACACTTTTTGGCTTTTGGCTGCTGCAAAAAAACATGGGGAGAGAAAGCAGAGCTCTACCTTTACTACAGCAGGCACCTTAAGTGACCAAGCCCAAAGTGGCTCTAGTTCAGAAAAAAAACGTTTAAAGCATGGACCAAGAGAATTCTACCACACAACTTCCAGAGCTAGCTTTAGAAAAAATACACTAGAGACTCACACTTGCTTCCACCATTCCCATACGCCTTGCAAGGCCGCTGTCCAACTCACTCCCACAGCTAGGCTGATTTTGATCCCCAAGTCAGTCACAAGTACACTTCAGCCTACTGACATTACTTCATAATCACCAAGGTAAACAAAGATACTCAGTATGAACCAACAGCATGCCACACTCACAAAAACCACAGTTCATGCTTGCATCACAGGCTATCTGCAGGTGGTGTTGGTATGTTCTGTCTAGGACCAGCCCCACTCCCACACAGAAAAGTCTCCAGAAACCATTTTATCCAGAGGGAGCACATGGGCGGTGGCAAAACAGAAAATACTCATTTCCAGCCTTCCCCTGTCCATCCAAAAAAAGGGATAAGGATTGGTTAGGGAGTACTGTATCATAGGAACAATTATCTTCTTTTTTTAGCAAACAAAACAGAATGGTAATAAAGATGTCATTTGGCACCTTGCAGTAGAGTTTCATTTTCATCTTTTTAGCGTTTCACTCATCAGTTCCTTCCAGACTAGAGAGGTAAGTTTTATCAAGATCCCCATGCACTTTCACTATGAACCCCCAATTACTCCATAGGATAAAGAAGGAACCATTCAAGATAACTCAAAAAGATGAAACATACCCCAGTTTAAACACAGAAAGTGAGGAAAAAAATTCAAATAATTTTCAGAGCGTCTGTTCCAGCCTAAGTGCAGCTGGCATTTCAGTTAACTTGACAAAAGGAGTCCGTCATACAGTTCCAGTATGTCTAGTGGTTCTGAGCATAGAAGTGCTAGACTGTCCATGAAGGTACTTCTTATTTGGTCTCTGGCTTGTCTTGCAATAGTGGTATAATTGATTCCCACGCCGTAAGGCACTAAAGAAAGAAATAAAGATTTAAAAAATGGATTGTACATCAGTTCTTGTAACTTTTGACCAACACTTCCAGACCAACAGAATGTATGTTCAAGAAAGGCTAGCCGGGTCTCTATAGATTATTGCGGAAGGGGGAAAAACCCCAGAATCTCAAACAGCAAGAAAGTGTTCAGAAAGAATAGCTGCGATCTCCAAACAAAGAAAACAAATTAAAGCTTTCCAAAGTCATCAGCTGGCCCAAGCCATTAAAAATCATCAGAATACCCTGGATTTCCAAATATCAAGCTAGATTCTTCTAAAGTGAAGAACATCACAGCTTTCAGCTAGGCAGACAAACTGTTTCTAGTAGAAATTCACATCTTTGTGGTGTGACTGTGGGAGAGGGCTGATTTGGACACAATGGTGGCTATTATAGACTACCTCCAGCAAACTTATTTGAAAAACCCATGCATCTAGGGAAGGTAGTTCAGGTACACAGTATACTCTGTTACACCTCTGGGACTTGGATCTCCACTGCATGATGAACTGGTAGTGCCTGGTATAGTAAAATAAAAGTGGAGTCTAGCTTCTGGTTATTATAAAGTCACTCCAGGCTTTGGAGTCATTTCCCCAGACACATATACTTACTCCAGTCCTTGTGCTGTGTATCATTACTGTCTTTCAACCATGTACAGCCCAGAAGTCAAACTGAAGAAATACAGACCTTGGGATATATATTATTAAACACTGGGAATGGGCAAACTCATCACCAGCTCTTATAACCACAGGTTACTGTTGTCAAGCATCTTCCTTCTAATCTTGCTGATTGTACTGCAGGTGAATAGAGTATTTCTAGTTGTGTATCCCGAAGTGATTAGACGCTCTCCTACCAAAAAGCTTCCTTACTGCAGCCAAGAGCAAAACTAAGGTGTACAGATTTAACTGTCAATTGCAGAGGCACTGCCAGATGTTCAGTGGAGTCTTTAATACACCCCCTTCCACAGCAGTCTCAGAAGAGAGAAGAAACCAGGGTGAAGGAAGTTCTTTGTGACTAGTTATGAATTACTGACAAGACAGACATCGGAAGGGGCAAAGGAAGTACATACTAATATTACATGGAGAGGTAACCTACCACAGGAAGAAGTTTGTAAAGTAGATGTGGAAAAAAGCAATAGGCAAGAAGATGAAGTATGTCACCATGCATATGCCTAGTATTGTTTAACGTATCAACCACTGCATTGCACAGCACTGTTCTACCATGAAGGAAAACTAGACTGGTAGCATATGCAGTTGGATGTCAAGGCCCTTTCACCTAAAAAAAACCCCAAAACAAAAAAAAGAAATCTGACACTGAATCTCAGGTACACATGCACCAACTGAAAAAGGGCACAGGCACCTGACTAGGTATTTCCAGGACTAGCATACAAAGGACAGAACTATGCACAAGGGGACAGAGATTAGAATAGTTTATGCATACTAGGTGTAATCTATATATGGATCCATGGATGTACATTAATGCATGTAGTTTGGTTCATAAAAGGCAGAATCAAGAGATTTTCTAGTCTGGTAGTATTACTAGAACATGCAATTTTGGTTTTTTTTCTTCGCCACTACTGCTGCTCAGTGATTTGTTCAAGAATGCAAGACAGACAAGCACCCAGGATGAAATGCTGTTACAGGGCTGCCTTGCAAAAGACTGCTAGTCTCATGCAGATCACTTGAGCATGACCAGCAACTCAATAGTTTACACTAAGCTGCTGACAAAGAGCACCTTCCACAGCACTAGAGAACCGATTTAGAACTCCAAGATTCTTTTCTTCAAGGCAGTGTGAAGATTTCCTGAAGAATTATCACCACCTCAGAGGAAAATGAACTACTGTTATTCCTGCCAATGCTCCAGCAGTGCCACATACCTTCTCGTAGTACTGGATGTTTTTATCTGCCATCCCCATGAGTAGCTGCCTAAAGTCTTGTCTTTTGTTGTTCTGCCATCTCTCCATATCTGCTTTCAGGTCAGCATTGAAACACTCTACTCGGTCTTGACACTTCTCAACATCTGTGGGTACCTGCAGCAAAAGAAATGAAGATTGAAACTGTCACTGAGAGTGCTAGACTGCTGAATTAGCTCAAACCTCACTGAGCAAAGCTACAGAGGAAAGGGTAAGTTAACAGTCCGGTAGTTACCCTGAATAAACTCAGTTATGGCTGCAGGGAGAAAAGCCCAAATTCTGTGTTAGTGAGGAGACAGGATTGCTTAACTTGTTCTCTGCTGTCTGAGGTGGTGGGCAGTTGTGCTTGTCCATCTCCACGCCAGATATGGAGGCAGACTGAGGAAGAGCTTGCTAGAGGCACATGGAGAGCAAAACCACTTGGTTTAAGTGCTGGGTGCCTAGGCTCAGCTCCTAGTTCTCAAACTGAGCAGCTTGACTACAGCTCCAGAGCAAGTTTTCTCTCCTCCTTCCCATTTACAGTTGCACTAGGGATTTCCCAATTTACGCTAGTGTGTATGAAACAACAAACATTTAGGTTTGTCCAAAGAGCTGGATAAGAGACCTCAGTGTTCTCTCTTGACTGTAGTATACAAACAGCAGTGATCAGCTATGACTGCAGAATAAAATTCTTAAGCCTCTAGTTTCTAGCTTAAGCCTCTTGTTTCTAGCTTCCACTTCTAACCTTACAGGCTGCCTGAAAAAAATGTAAATGCAAAGCATTGATGATCATCACTGTGTATTGGCTCATGCACCTTTGGGCTCAACACTGGACACGTAATCACACATAAGCAATGGGAGAAATCCTGAAGGACAGCCTACTGCAAGCCTAGGTAGAGATTGAAATGGATTATGACAGTAGTCACCAGCCCAAGGTAGATGCACTTTAGGCCAAAGAAGTTGGTCTTTGCTTATGTTTTAACTAACATCATGTATACCACCAGGCAACTACAGGAACAATTTACAAACGTTTCTTCAAGCAGGAAAGCCATGAACGCCTTTCTCTCCCTTCTCCATGTGCTGCATGGTTCACACAGACAGAAGGCCTGTAAGGACATGGAGACCAAGCCCATGACCTCAGAAGAGGAAACCCCTGAGCTCTAGCACCAATGTGAGAAGTAAACTTGGGCTCTGGAAGCTGTGACTTGCACAAAGGCAGAATGAAGAACGTTTGCAGAGGTTTGTAGTGGCTCCTCTCATACTTGATGCTTTCAGAAAATTCCCTTTTTCTTTGAGGGACGTGAAGGAAGGAAGGGGATGAACCGACTATATAAGAAGCTTTTCACAAGTAACAATATAGGAAGTTAGAGGTGTGCTACTACCTTGCAATTTGGCAAGGTACATGATTTAGGCAGAAACGTATCAACTCTGGTTCTTCTCCAGGATGTGGACTAGGGTCGATCACTGACTAATACTCAGAGAAGGTCCTACATCTGTTCTCTGATAAAGCTGTTCAAGACACAGGAAAAGCACCTCCTTCGTGCTCATAGGATCTGAGTACCCCTTTATTCACACGACTGGATTTACACTACAGATAGCTTGCGGGTTCAGTAGCTACTCACTTCCCCCACCCTCTCAGAGCACTATACTTCTGGCTACAGAATTCACTCTGCTACAACTCCAGACATTAAGTTCTCTCGTAGGCTTCAGACAAGACCTACCAACCTAGTGGCTGGAAGGCTTAGAAGATGGTCCCCTCAAGGCAAGTATGCTTTGCATCATATTTATAAGTACTCTGCTATCTTAACGGGAAAGGCTAGGCTATCAAGAGAAAGAGTCATGAAGTCTGGAAGCAAAACCACATAAGATTTCCCAATCCAATTAAGTTAGTTTCTAAGCACTCACCAGTTTCCTGCTTCTTCTGCCAGGATCTGAAACCACAACGAAGCTATAAAAAAAGAAATCTGTTCTTTCTCACAGCCAGTTCTCCTGCACGTCAGGCTGCGAGAGCTGTACGACTTTAGAGCTACAGGGACAGCCTAGTGATCAGCAAATGGGTCACGTATGCTCTGATTAAGGAACAACAGCAATGAACTCCAGTTAAGTCTCCACAGGCATCATGAAAGCAGCGTCTGCACGTGCACTGCTCCTGTTCAGCAGTGTAAATACCTTTCCTTCCAAAACTGCAGCTTCCCAGAAGTTGCAACTCAGTAGCTGAAACAAAGTTTTAGGTTAATTAACAGCTTTTAAGCACTTTATATCTAGTGCAAGGTTAATGAGAAGAGAGGTTATAGTTCTAACATCAAATTTGGATGTTGAAACATCAATACTGATGCTTTTATCTGCTTTTACCAAGGGAGATTCTAAGTATTAGCTAGCAACTAGGAACTGAGAAGACAGAAGATTGGACTTTTGGGGAAGTTGCTACTTTCTTACTGATGGCTGCTCTCAGCTACTGGTATAGCTCAAAAAGACCCAACCCCAAAACGAAGTGACAACTAGCTCAAACTCCAAAACACTCTAGAAGGGCCCATCACTATTTTAGTGAGTCAATTTAAACTGAGAAGTCGTCAAATGCCTAAAAACCTCAGTTGGCTTGCTGGATATGCTAGATTTAGTACCTTCTATCCTACATACAACTTGTTAGAATATCTAAGTGTAGCTTATACAAAGCTACACTGAGGAAGTAAGAGTACATACCACACGAGCCAGCAGTGGGGCAGGCAAAAGACCAAAATACAAGAGCATCACAAGATACTCAAGACACCACTATTTGTAGAGTCCGTGACAGACACAAGACCAGAAAAATACCAGTTTGCATTTCTATGCTCTGTCCTCCAGCTTCTTAGATTAAAGACGTTATGTGAACCTCCTGTAAGATTATTGTACGGTAGTCCTAATACTGGAAAGTCATCCATTAGTTATTAACACAAAGATGAAGGGGAACCAAAAACACCCAAGCAGAGGAAAGGAACAAAACCTGTTGTCATTGTTGGTTAAAGCTGCAGTGGTTTAAGACAGGGCTCTTGCACATCGCTTCATGCAGAAAGCAGGTGGCAGCATAAGCACGCCAATTTACAGCTTTGTTCTGCATGAAGCCCAGCCAAAACCTGTCACCCAGTGACACCTGCTGTGTCTGTTCAGCATCACACAGGACAACCTCCCTAGCAGAAGGGGCAAAACATGGAGTCTTCCACAGTCAAAACAGGTATCCTACAATACAGTTCAGCAGTGCCAGGGCTAGGACTTGAACTCGGCTAGCTGACACCCTGCTGAATCACCAGGGACTGTTCTACCACTGCTTCAGTCCCTGTCACTAAACACTCCAACTGGTCGCTGACTGTTGTTCAAGTGTACACAGGTCAGAGCCATCCTGCTCTGAACCGTGGGAGATCAGTAGTACAGAAGTTGCTAGACAGGTTATGTATGTTCATACCTGTCTTTATTCCACATCAGCTTGCCAACAACAAACTTCTGTTCTGTCAGAAATTGCTTATACTGCAAAGAAGCTGCCAGACCCAGACAAAGCAAGTTCTGTTTCTCCATTCTTCTCAGGAAGTAATGTAAGTGCAAGCCGGTTTTGTAGTTTTAAGTGCTAACCTTTGGACGGTCTTCTTTTTTCAAGGCTACTGCTTCCAGTTTTGCTTCATACTCCGCTTGAACTTGGTCTCTCTTCTTCAACACATTCTATGGGCAAGAGAAAAGACAGCTGTGAGAGGGATCCTCTTGTTCCTTCCCTCCCCAGCCTGCAAGTGATACAGCTTAAGTGCTAATTCAGTCCAAAGTCAGACTTTCAAACTTACTTTGTCCTATTTTACAGTATTTAGGGAGTAGCTTTTAAAAACAAAGAGCACTTGCTCTCCAGCAGCTGGCAGGGTCAGATAAAATTCAACTTTTGGACAAGCTGGAGGCATGCAAGACAGAAGCTGTCATGTAACCATGAATATAACCCTAAGTAAATTCAATTAATCATTTGACCTATTATTAGCACGAAAAGGATATAAACAAAAGCATCAAAGCTGTCAAGGACTAGTGCAAAGCTGTTGATATCCTCAAGCAGCAGAGAGACAACAGCATGGGCTAGGAGACAGGATGGCCACCACAGAAGATATTACATCTCCCTTTCCACTTGCAAAGACTCCTCAAAGTCCTTTATAGCAAGCTGTTTTATTCATGTTAGAATAAAAGTAAGCTTTGCTTTTAGATCAGTTTGGGGGGTTTGTTGTTGGTTTAATTAAAAAAATTAAAATTATAAAAAGCACAATTTACATGAAAAGCACCGAACTGAGTGAGTTTCACAAGCAGTAAACATTTTATTGACAGAGTATTCTCAGAACAGAGAGCAAAAGATGCCACCCTTCTTCTTGTACTACGTCCACAAGTCAAGATCTCCACTAAGGTGGTACTACAGTCTTACAATTTAAAAACAACCACAGAAATTAGTCTTTTCAAGAACATACTACTGAAAAATAAGTAGTTCTGTGTCTGCAAGACAGTCTTCTTCAGTCTTCACAAGGAAACTAGTAATTTTTAATAATTCAGTTGATGCAAAGTTATTACTAAAAATGCTCAGAGGGAAGTCAGCCAACACTCACTGCTGAGGCACCTGTAAATTTGAACTTCTCTTGGAGCCAACTTGGCCAGTTTATGCTTCAAGTCTTCCCTTCTGCCACCCAGAAGGAATTACCCCATTAGGACAAAGGGAGGTAACTAGTAATTTTAACAGTTTCAGACAAGGCTAGTAAAGCAGGACTAGTCATGTGCACTGCTGCCTACAGAAATACCTGTTTAAAAAAGTAGTTCTCAGAGCTCTAAGAGCCAGTCTAGCCAAGATCTGTTTCCCAATTAAAGATGTACAAACCCTGTATCTATTAATCGTCATCTTCCCCCAGCTCCCTCCTAAGCCAAGGGAAGGTCACCAGTGCAGTTCCTCTAAAGTACAGATAGGAGACGTTGCAATCAATATTCTTACAAACCGTAGTCCATGATAAAAGGGAATGGCACCCCACCCACAAAGTTGCTATTAATTTAGGCAAAACTGAAAAATTCACCTTCAACAGCTTAACCCTCCCTTTTGTCCCCAAAGGGATGCAAGCAAGCATGCCATTGGTTGTGTTTGCTTGAAAAGCCACAACATTCCCGTTCCTTTTGTAATCTAAGTAACTATGTGGAATAGCCCTTAAGTGATTGAGGTTACCAATGCAACAAAAGCCTGAGAGATTTAGCAGGTATTTCTACTTTCTATTGCCTCTTGAACCTGAGTCAACTGAAATTTCTTCTCAGAAAAACAACTGCCTCCAGCAATTGCATTCAGCCTTTACAAGCCTGGAGTTAGTGCAGTAAGCTGGATCTGTACCAGGAGTAGTCAATGATTAACAGGTATCATCAGACTAGCTTCAAAGGGCAGGTGTCTTATTTCTCCTTAAGTGCTCGAGTCCATCCACTGTGGACCATTAACAATATGCTTCTGAATACAGCTTTAAGTATCCATTAATGGCTGACCTGTATGTGATGAGAAAAATATTGCCTTCCCTTTCACTTGTGCGGTATGTGAAAGGAAGTGTTGCCTCTGGCACCTCCAGGCAATCTCTTCTCAGTTGTAGATCAATGCATTAATTAATGCTACAGCAGCTCCTTCGAAAAGCTCTGTACCAAGTATCCCCAGACTTACCACAGCCCATGCAATCCTTCCACTAGTTAAAGCCTCAGAGGGAAAAAAAAATTAAAAATAAAGAAAAAAAAATTAAAAAGTTTAAAAGAGTTGGAAGAAACCAACACCAAACAGAAAAAACCTCACACATCACATTTCAGTTATTGAGGGACAGAACTAAACCACTGGTCCCTGTACAAGCAAGACTTAGCTTGCTTTCAGTGAGGCAGGTCCTTCTCCATTTTGTATTCTGTTGAAACACTTCTCCTTGGCCCATATCTCTGAAGGAGCTTCAGGAGTTTGCCATCAGCCTCCTTTCTCAAATTGCAATCCTATGCCATTTGCACACCACGTAGCTTCCTACTACGACTAGACCTCGCAAGAGGATCCTTATTTACTGCACACCTTTAGAGAGACTGTTAGCTATGCAGGAGGTGCTTGCTTTCAATATGCATTAAAAGTAATGTCCAAGCACACAGCTGAGGATTGCACTATCTGATAAGCCTTTCTGGCAGTGTTAAGCGTATGGAGTTCATATAACATTTTAATGTCAGCACTGAATTATGTAGAGCGGAGTTCGTCCTCTGCACTTGCCTCTCTGGGGAACACCAGCGTACCGGAAAAAATGTGGTACTGCACGTTTGCTGACAAGGGCCTCGCTGCACCTGGATTTGAGACGTTGTCTGGCCATCTCATACATGGCCTGTGTTTTAGAAGAGGTCTCTCCTAGACACTACCAGCACGCATTTTAACTCATGCCCACAATGCCAGCCTCTCCCCACTTCTGCAAATCTTTCAAACAAACTCAGAGATGGGGCTTCCCTGGAGTCAGCCAATATTTGTTTCAACCAGAACCACTGGGCTTTGCCTCCGTATGTGCAGTTTCCTCGGGCTGCCCCCTTGCCGGGTATAACAGTGCTCCTGAAGATACTAAGGTGAACATTCATCTCTAAAACAGCAAAGATAACCTGGCAGTTCTTACTCTGAGAGACATTTACCCAGCTAGAAATTGCTCTACAAATGAAGTTCTCATACCTATACCTAGGGTACAGCGTGCAACAGAGAAAGCTATCAAGGTTGCACTGAACTCCTAGTACCTAAAGACTTACCTTCCATCGAGTACCCTGTCCAAAAGTTGTGCTCTGAAAGACCAAAACGGACTTTTAATTTCACAAGCAGGCCTCACAGCAGCTGATGAATAGGACTGCACTGCTAGTGAAGAGGACAGCCCTTTCAGCAGAAAGCCTCTTACACTCCAACAGTAGCCTCCTTTACAGTTACTTGCTCAATTTTGTGGAGTCTGGAAAGACAGTTCTGTAGCTGCTTACAGAAGAAATAACAACAGACTACTATTTTCTAGCATAAGAAAACTGCACTTGGTATGACCTGAGAGATTTCAGTTTTGGTATTTGGGAGGGAAGGAAAACCGGAACAGTCTGCCTTGGCTAGCAATAGTTTTTACTCTTGATTTTCAGACAGAGTAAAGCTAATGAGATGCCCAAGCTGGACATTAAACAGATTAATCCTTATTTGCTATCAACTGCTATTTTGCAAGTGTGGTTTCTAGATCCAACTAGTTCCAAAGCACCAACACAATGAATATGTTCAGTCCATTACCAGAGAATAACTGACAGGAAGAGTGAAACCATTAGGCCACTAGAAAGTCAAGTCGTCTAAAAATTAAGCTAAAAAGCAAGGGTTTCTTCAGCTGAAGAGATACTTCAGGCAGTTAAACACCACTTACCACAGGGAGAGTGGCATTAAAGACTTGCAGCTAGACTACCTGTTGGCTTGGAGACAGCCCCATTCTGAAAGAGCTCTTGTCAGATGATGGCAAAGACACTAAGTGCAGTCTCCAAGCCAACAGGAGTACCTGTTGTACCTGAAGTACCTCTTCAGCTGAAGAAACCCTTGCTTTTTAGCTTAAAATTTTTTTCCCCTGCCACATTTGTGAAAAGCACCTCTCAACTCAGCTTGACACTGAAGATGCTATCTCCAGTAGGCCGTGGCATTTGTAGCATCAAAAGCCAGATGTTCTGGGTTAAAAGCTTTAACTACTAGCCTCATGCTCTGTTTATTTGTAAGTACACACACACACCCCCCTTCCTACAGAACAAGGATAAGTCTGAACACCCTGGGTCAAGGCTTCCAGCTACAGCTCAGGGTGTTCCAAGCAATACTTGGGTGTTAATAGTCCCGTAAAGAAAATGCACCTTGTTTATGCTGGGGTCAATACCATGACTATGAAAGCAGAGAATATACACGAGGAATTAGTGCAAAGACTTCTGCAAGAATACTTCAGCCAGGCAAGACAGAAGCCATACAACTAGCCATCTGAAGCTGGGAAAAGAAATCTGCAAGCATTTCAATTCTCAGTTTGAGAAGTAGAGGATGACTAAGATTAAGATGGAGAAGGACTACCATGTTCAGACTGTAGGTTTAGAACAGGCTATTAAATCTCTAAAGGAGTGCATACCATAGCCTTGTAACGGTTGTTCCAAGTGGAAAGTCCTCAGAAGCAATTTGTCTGTTAGTACCCTATAGAGGGACTGCTAATACATACTGTACCACGGGCATGTGGTGAAAAGCTTTAACAGCTGAACTAGAGTCCTTGGTTTCAGTTTTCAATGCAATTAACTCAGTAATTCTTTTCCCCATGCAATGGGATTGCCTACTAATGGTCCTTAACTTCAAGAGAATAAAAACTGCACTGAAGTAGCTTTTATTACTTCTGCATAAGCAGTAAGATATCAAGTTCTTGAAGAGATTAAGAGTCACAGAACAACATCTTTAAGCAGTTACTTGGTATGCAGAACTTAACAGAACTTTACAACAGACACAACCTGCCTAGGGCATGGGGATGAGAGAGGAAGCAGTGTCTGTCATTTGGACACGTGGTTCTAAAAGGAGCCACCCAACCCTGCTACATACAAGTGACAGAAGCTGTTAACCCTACCTTTTCTGCAGGGCCAGACACTGACCCAGTAGTGAAGAGCTGAGCCACCACTGACTTTCTAACAATTCAAAGAGAAGATTCTAGGCAGCCACAGGATGTCTCCTATAGAGTAACCACCTGCCATTCCGATGAAGGAGCAACTCTTCAACGCTTTGTGTGCACCCGAGCATTACTGACCTTAGCTTGACTGAATAGCGGAGCAGACGGATAATGCTACCCATGCAGTACCCTGCTACTAAACATACCTGGTTTTGTTTTGATTATGAAAACATCCTCCTACTTAATGTATTATTTACTTCCCCACTTTTCCCACCACCAACCCTTCTCCCTGTTAGAAAGAACAAACTTGCTGATATATCGTTCCATGCAAACACCATGACAGTGTCTTCTGCCACAGGGCTCTCTACCTTCATCGACTCCGAGTACAATATATATTCCCTAAGCACAGGCAGGAAGTCTTCTGTCATGTCTTCACTGAGTTCTTCAAGAGCTGTGCAGCAGTTCCCAATACAGGCAGACACCCCTTCCAGTGGCTCTGATAGCTCAACCTCCAGCCCTCCCCAGGTTGAATAAACAGGTCCATATTCTCGTAGTTCCACCAAGTATTCTGCAAAAGGCAGACAGAAAAGTAGATTAACAGAGTAAGAGTGAGGCACAAGGATCTGCAAACACTCACACCAAACAGGAGAAACTATACACCAAGCTTGGCAAACATTAACTCCCCCAGGAGTCTTGTGTTGCATCAGCATCTTAACAGACAGAGTTCTACGGCTGCACAGGTGACAGGTCCAAGTTGCCTCCTGCTTAACTGACCATTCATACAAGCTTCCAGTACAAAGACACTTGCATCCGTGCAGCAGCCAAAGTATTTTTTTTTAAACATATGTAAAACTTGGCTCTGCTAAGAGAGGTATGTAAAGGTTATCTTCATCTAGCAATTCCATCCATACTCCTCCAGATGGAATCTACAGTTTTTTCTGCCTCCCAAAAGTATTTCCAAAAATAACTCTAGTAAGAAAGTAGGTTGGTATAACAAGAGCAACTTTAAAAAAATATTTGGAGAGTTGAGCTAAGATAAGACACTGTGCTAGGCTTCGGGACTGTTTTAAATCTGCAAGAGGCATTAGATTTTTCTGTGTGGGGCTCATTACAGGCCAGAATCATTGACGTAAGTTGTCTTGGTCATGCCATCAACCAGAACAAGATACAGAGCACTCAGACTGAAGTATTATGATAGAGGACCTTGTGTCCTTACCCAGCTGTTCCTTGATAATCCGCTGTGCTATTCTGTCAATGGTACCAAGCTTTAGAGAGAATGTGTCTAGATACTCCCCAATGGCTGCAAACTCCAGTGGCCGACTTCTTAATTTGTAGCCTCCTGTGACGTATTTGACAGACTCCCCCATCTTTGACAGCAATGCCATTCCTTGCTTTTTGTAGGCATTAAGATCCTAGGAAGTTAAAAAAAACCCAACAGTTTAGAAATATTTTACTTGCATGTTGGAAGATTAATACAGTGAAGGATACTTTCCACTCAAGATCAAATCTTGCGAAGGCAAGAGTTTACATGTGACATGTAGCCTTGGACAAAACCTCACTTTGTACAAGTTGTACAGCTGAGCACAGTTTCAAGACTACCTCTAGATGGAGATAAGCTATCCAGGGGAATCGTATGAAGTACATTATCCATGAGTAAGTGGTCCATCTTTGCATATGGCCAGACTTTCCCATGTTCCTGTACTGCCACCAGGTAAGTAGTGATATTAACAGCTCTGTTTCCAGCAATACTGTTCATGCCATTCATCCACGCATACTTTTAAGTCATAGCCCACAGTACCAGTATTATGCAAATGCACCAGCTGGCTCTGATGACCTAGTACAGAGCTACATATTGCATGCCTATTTGGTCAGCAGCCTTCTCACACCTGTTGTGTGGTCAGACAGGGGACAGGGGAAGGCTGCACACAGAAAAAGCACAGCATGAGGGGACTAGCATGGCTTCTCTGGAAGTCAGACTGCAGCTCAGGGTGGGTCAGATGTAGCCATGTTGCCTGCACAGAAAGCTTAAACTTCCTTGCCGACGCTTTACACATTTGCATAAATCAACATTCAGACAACCTATGGTAACAAGGTTGTTTACCTACAATCTTCAGGGAATTTCACCTTGACAGCACAGCAGAAAAAACCCTGGTTTTAGTCAGCCAAAACGCTGTCCATTTTGCATTTTACTCCTTCCAGCAGGGGTCACTATTCAACATCTCAAAACAGGCTTAAGAGCTACAACTAGGTTATCCTACACAGCCTGAGGAAGAGAAGTTTTCAAACCAAGTGGACCTGTAGAGGTCAAGAATCAAGACATGGTATTACAGACTAGACTAAAAGCTTAAGTGTTCTTTAAAAAAATACAACAGCCATCTTCAAAACATGTACTGTGGTATTCTTTCCAAGTACTTATGTATAAATCAAACCTAAGTCTGATTAAGACAACCTGACTTAGCAGCTGCTATAATTTTGAATTATGTTTGCATTTAAATGCAGTGATTCCTTGACTCTTGCCTTCTGCCTGTCCTAAGCACCACCTGCCAAGCAGGCATCAGAAAAAGACCCTTCAATTCAAAATTATTCACTCACTCTCTCGAGCATTCTGGTGTGTTACTTTGGTCCAAACGGGGAACTTGAAGAAAGGTTGGTTTCTCTTTTTCAACCAGGAGGTGGTCTCATGACCTTCTGCATTAACTAAATTCTGAAGTTCTAGCACACTGAACGGACACCTCACTGCTGCAATACAGCAAGTTCCAACATTAGAGACAGCCAGAAGAACACGCGTCCTTTCCCCTCAGCCTCCCTGGATGCTCTGTATTCTCAAGGCAAGCCCTGCCGAGGGCTGAGGATAAAGCCCTTATCATTCATTTTACAGGGGTGGGAGAAGACAACTAAGCAGCTAAGAAAGTTTCATCATGCTTTGACAGCTGAAAAGCAGAACAAAGCTATCTGACATTTAACTATCAAGGTGCTAAACAAATTCTGCATTTCTGGCTTGTTTCAGCAGCTAAGTTCACCATGGAGGGGAAATAGGGAACTGGAGATTGAGTCTCGCATTACCAGCAAGCAGAGCACGAGCCTGAAGTGAGCTCAAATTAAGTGTCACATTTGAGTGAGCTAGCGTAATGTGACATTGGAAAGATGTGCTTTTACAGCTCTCCTCACTTATCAGGTCAAACCCAAGCATGACTGTAGGTCCTCCTACTGTTATTTAAAATGCAGTTCGAAAGACAGCCAAAGAAAATTGCACCGTTGCTGGATGAGTCATGCAGAAGATGAGCATGAAGCTGTTGACCAAGAACAAACAAGAACAAGGTCTTCACGCCTAGTTTTGAGGGCAACAAGTGCAAGCAGTATAGAAGGCACAAACAAGAAAAAAGCCAAGAAATTTGCAAGCTTTTGTGCAAGAGAGATGTCTCCTGCTCCCCCACTTCCCTCTTCCCCAAAAGAGGATTTTACAAAGTCTACAATTTTCTGAACCTCTCTTGCATCAGAGGAGTATGTTTTAGACACAGGGATACAAAACAATCAGGTCTGGAGAACTGAATTTGTAAATCTGCAGACTGCCCCTCCCTTCAAGCAAAGCGAACCCGTATGGTTGTCACACACAGGGGTCTGTCACACACAATGTTCAGGATCACTGACAGCTCTCTGGTATTTCAGGGGAAGCTCTGACCTATGCATGTAGCTTTATTAATGCCTTTTTACCTTCATTTCAAAGGAGACTGCAAAAGGTGCCTGTTCTGTTGTCCCTGTCAATGACTGTGTTTGGAAGTTACTGGCTTACCTTGGCTGTGAGAAACACGTTGAAGTGCTCATTAAAAGAAAGCACTGGGTGGTCAGTTATTCTCTTCAAGAATTTGTCTAATGCTTTTCTCCTCGTCTCCACGAACTCTTCGGAAAAGCGATCAACAACACCCTTCACCACAAATTTCTCAGGAAGAGGCTGTCAGAGACAAGCAAAATGCACAAGATTCAAAAGACCAAAAACTTGCTTCTGCTATTTGGAAACATACAAAGCAATCAAACTCCAGTCTTAAGAACTCAAATGTTATGTTTGCTAACAGGAACCATACATCAGACAGGATGCAAGCCCTGCTCTGAATCACCCTTTAGCTGGTCTGGCCTAAAGCTAGCAATTCTACTGAGTGGCTTCAGCTGAGACCCACACCAGTGAAGCCGAGACAGTACTCACACTAACTACTTCTAGCATAGCTTAGGGTTTTTCCCCCTACTGCTATCCATGTTCAAGCTCCAGCTCTAAAGGAGATGCCAGCAGAGCTGCACACTATTCACTTCAGCAATGCGTGCACACACCCACCCCGATGTTGAAGCAAGGCTGCTCAGTCCAAGGAAACTCAGAAAATTTAACAATTCTACTCTTTTCCCCCCCATTCTGAACAATTTAGAGCTCCTGGATAGGGCCCTTCTGTGGAGGGCTGATAGTCTTAGTGATAGCACCACACTGAGCAAAGACAGACAAGCACGCTTGGCACAGCAAATGGCCAAATAGTCCAGGCTGGAGCCTTCCTGAAGCACTTGCACACTCAGTCATGTCTCAGAGCCAATATTCCTTATCTTGTTTGTGTAAGTGACAAAGGTCTGCCAACATATCTACTCTTTCATCTTACTCCTATTTCAACTCCACCAGTTCATCTCCACAGTTCAGCTTAACATGTAAGCTCAAGTCTGCCTCCAGACTCGCTAGTTCTGCAGTGACTCCTGTTACACTTACACTCCAGAATGCCAAGTACCGCTTCAGATGGAAGATAACTCTTTAAGCTTCAGCATGGTTAGTCTTAGCTCTACCACTACATCTGCCTTTGTTCTCTCTGGACAGCATGGACTCTAAGATTAACACCAGTTTTAAAACTGTGCTTTGCATTTTATTCTTGTGAAACAGTCTGCCTACACAGATAATCTGCTTACTCTTAGGCTAGCAATGACATCCATTTTCACCCAATTCAGGAATCAGGATTCTCCTCTGCAAAGAGTCTTTGTCACCTGAAATCTGTGACAAAAGTAATACAAAGAAAAAAAGAAATCGTGTATGTATATGCCTTTCCCACCATACCCTAGCTGATGTGCTATGTACATGAAGATTGCACCTCCTAAAAAACACAGCCAGAATGAGTTAGCTGCAACACAGCTACATTTTGACCACTATATTTAGTTCTTATAATTTAAGACTTCTCTTATTAAGCTTAGCATTCAGATCAGTCATTCTAGTTAAACCAGTGTAAGGTACACTCTAATTAGACTTCTTCAGAAGACTAATGCTTAGTGCAGTAGTCTTCAGGGAGGAAGAAGCTCTCTTCCCTTGCTTTGTAAACTTTAGCTGGGACTCTATACTTCAGGAAGTCACTACCTCAACACCACATGGCTGAAGAAAAGGACAAGCTGGAAGATTAGTTTAAAGAACTCCAGTTCAACCAAACACATGCAAACTGGCCTGAATAATCACTAAAGTTTGAGCATTTGAGACACACAGAAGGGTGCACCTCTGTTACAGAGGCTTCTGCCATTTAACCTGGTTTTAGCTATAGCAGTAGTTATAGTCCTTTACATTTTAGGCCTTTGGAAGTCCATCCCACTGTGTGTAGTCAGTACACACAGCTAGCAACTGTGTGTTACTTATCTACCTTATAGTCTTCCAGCCAGCTTAATAGTCTACTTTTCCCTGCTGTGACATGTGAACAGAGTCCACTGCAGTCAGAAACGGCTTCAAGTATCCGAACATCACCATCCAAAGACAAGATCCTTGGCCATGTTAGGCTTATCTTTCTAGTCTAGAGACAGATCTGAGGGCATTTTTACTGTTGTTTGAAAGAACAGATTAGAATAAGTCTCAGATCATTTAAAAAAAGAAAAATTCAGAAACCAAAGACATGAAGAGGAACCCGTATTCAGTTTAGTTTGGGCTCCTAAGTTTGGGCTTTCTGCACTGAGAAGACACATCATTTCTCACAGGAAGATTTTAGGCAGAGTCACTATACCAAGATTAGGAAAACAATCCCCTTTTGGTATTTTGTTAGACAGAAGGCCTCCAGGGATTGAGGTATCTCCAGTTACAAATACAGATACTCTCAGATTGGCTTGAAACATCCTTTCAGAACACACGAGTCACCGTGCACCTGAAACTGCCTTTAGCTTCTATTTCCCATCTACTTCTAGGCAATAAACACACAAATCATTCGGCAATCTCCCCGCCATATCACTGCATGGGGGAGATTAACAGGAAATTCCGTAACTGCTAACTTGTGCATAGACGGACAAAAGAGGGCAGCGCATCCTTATGCTTCCAGATTTTCTAGGAGAGAGGCACTTAAGAGATTGCCTTGTTCTGCAGCCAGTTTCATGTCCAATATTAGAGCCACTTGTGCCAAATTTGCTGTTCTGTGTGCAACGAATTCCAGGTCACAGCAAAGCAGCTTGATTCCATGGCTGTGACTCACCTTCTGCTACTAGACTATTATTTATTGCCTTGCAGCCTTCAGGCAGGACTGGCAGCCTGTTAGTACGCTCAAGAATCTGTAGAAGCTTAACCTCGATAGTTCCAGCTGTTCAGAGAATGGGGAGGGAGAAAAGAGGGTCTGGGCAGCCAAACACATTTATCTCACGTCTCCACCTTACCCCAACAAGCTCATGTGCTCTCTCTCCTCTTCTCCCTACCTCTCAGTAAACATATTTGCTGCCAGTTAGTGGTATCACATGATTTTACAAAGTATTTCTTATCTTTGAGAGACTGAGCTATTATTCCACTTAGAGGCAATTCCCAGAGAAATTAAGGTCTTAAATAGCTCTCTACCCTGGAACAGCCTAACTGAGTACTTCTCACATAACTTAGTCCTTGCTGAGGGAGGGAAAGCAGAGAAACTTTCCCCCCATCCCAGATAGGCAAGTTAAGGTATGCTAGCAGTGTTGCTGTTTCCCAACAATTCACCTCCTACAGGCCTTTTTGAATTTCTTTGTTCAAAAGAGCCGATTGTGATCTCACGAGCTTCCTACCTTTTCACATCTTCTACAGCATGAAAAACAGTCTGCTGAAGATCAGTATCAACCTCTTCGTATCACATAAGGTGGTCAGACTGCCAGCTTCAGTGACAAGAAGGGGTGCAGTAGTTTAGCTAATCTCATTAGCTAAACTTCTGCCTACTGAAGGCATGCAATAGCTACGAAGCCAGAGGCTAAGATTTGCAAGTCTGTGCTATTAAATGTTAGCACAAATAGTTTTAAAATACTCTTTGAAACTAGTTCAAAAGGCCATCTTGAAAACTGACTGAGACTAGGACTTGAAGTACCTATACAGTTTTTCATAAGCCTCAGATACTCAGAAATCTAGATGTAATAATTGAACAAACAGATGAAGCATATTCCATTTATGCCACAACAAATGTAGTCACCATGCATATTGCCCTACAGGAGGCTGCCAAAGCTCACCTCTCAGGTGTGCCACCCAAGAAAAGTCTAAGCTTCATAATCAGTCAAGAATGGGAAGCTCTTCCCACTCGACTAGAAGAGAATGAAGTACCATATTTAAATCTAAATACTAGAAGAGAACAAAGTACTGTAGTTAAATCTAAAGAGATATATCACCAACACATCACCCTTGGAATACAGATACAGAACTGTCCTTAGTAGCAGATTCTTGCTTACTACCTACGGGAATGAGATGCGTTGGCTGAGACTCTTCCAGCTTGTTTCTCAACCAGTCGAAGTCTTGGTACCGCCGGCGGACAGAATACTCTGGCAAATCAAACTCTGCTCGCGTGGTCTGGAAAAGAATAACAGGATACGCTTAGTGTGTACCAAAACCTCTTACTTCAGAGCTTAGCAGCAAATGCAGTACAGCCATCACTGGCAAGGGTGAGGCCAAACAAGCCTTGCATGGGGACTCCATCCCTAAAAATCATGTTTGCAGCTAGCATAAGAGAAAGGTCCGCTGGCCTTCCCAGCAGTGGAAAGCCAGTAATAAGAAAAATGATTACCTGGAGCTGATGTGTTCTTAATATCTATTTGTACTTCATTACATGTTCATGTTCTGCTCAGATAAGCTTTATGGGAGGAGTCTGTGGAGAGGAGAGTACTGTGCACCATGTTAATCTCTTGGCAGTTACAAGTTTGCAGGGAAGACTGTATGAAATCTTCTTTCCAAGGATGAGACTATTTTAGCCATCAAGAATTAAAAGCAAAGATATTTAATGACTTGTTTATTCTATGAGGTGCATTAATCATGGGTGAAAAATGTTTCACCACTGCCCCATATTCCAGAAGTGACAGGCTGTGTAATCACTCCTTCAAGGCAAAAAGTTTAAAACATAAGCCACTGCTAGGTTTGCCAAAGGACCGTTTTTGTTGATTTCTGAGAGGTAGAAATGAGTTTGTTTGCATTAAGTTCGTGTATGCCTGATTAGAGATATCAGTACATTAAGTTAAGTTTTCATTCTTTAGGGCAAGGAGTTAAACTTGCCATTACAGGTTTGAGACAGAAGGTTAAGTATGCAGAGAAACTGCTGGCAAATATTTTATTCAGTCCTTGAACAGTCCATAGCCTGGAAAGCTGACTGCATGGGGCTGCTTGCACAGCATGTATTGCAACTGCCTAAAAGCACTAATGAAACTGTGTACCAACTAGAAGTCTCTGCTAAGGAGCCTGGCATTGAGATAGCCCTGATTGGAAGGTAGATGGCCCTTATCATTATGTCCCACTGAGAAGCACAGCTCACAGAGAAGCCTAGACAGCTATACTTGGTTACTTGCAGCATCAAGACCATCTTGCAATAAAGGTGATGCTGCAGCGCCAGCACACTACATGTCTATAGCTAGACATCAAAACCACTGCATTCTGGGGAATGCGTCAGCTCTCCTAGCTTTGAACTGGCACTGAGTCCAGCACTAGGTTGCTTTGCTGCTCCTAGTCACTACAACCACCTGCTAAATTCCAGCAGAGATTTTGTATTTACTTCCAGACTGAGAGCAACTGCCACATATTTGGAGAGAGCCGAGCAGCAGCCTTTAAATGCAATCTACCTCTTCACCTGCTCTCTGGATGGCTCCAACTTTTCAGTTACTGCATGTTACTCCCACCTGTCCCCACTGGGGATCCCGTACAAGGTCTATGCCAGAAATCTCTTTCTAGGGAGAAGCCATCAGCCTTAACACACTACAAGCAGAACAGTAGCTCTAGTATACTATAAACAGCATGCTAATGTGATATCACCTATGAAATAGTTTGGTTTCTAGAAGAGGCAGGCATAGAGAGACAGAAAAGATGACATCAGGATCACCTCCTCCCTCCTTTGACCTGCTCACTGTGGTAAGAGATACACATTAGTCCATGGACTAACATAATGAATGCTCACCAATGGAGCAGTTGTATTTGTAGATGAGGGAATACCAAGACCTAGATATCCACTGTGGATTTGTGCTCTACTCAGCTACACCTCAGAGTAACACCAGCTTATTTAACGTGTTAGAGTGCCACACTATAAATGAAACTTCTGAGACTTCATATGAACCATTTTCACTTGTTTTGAGTAAGAGACTAAACGGCATTACGCTAGAACAAAATAATTCGCACACATGTAGACAGCCCTCATCAGCCAGCAGTGCTGACTACTTTGCTCTGTTAATAGGGCAGCTATACCTCAGCCTTGCAGGAAATTATCTGAAATAAAAAGAAAAGTAATGATTTAGTAGTAGGGAGAGCTTTTGTGAACTGGTTGTCACTGGGCAAAGGCCTCTTAAAAGAGATCAGACAGTGAGTGAGAGTAATCAGGATGTATACACACTACAGTGTCTTATCTTGTAGCATGAAGATGAAGGTAAAGTCTCCTATCTGTTAGCGCTGAGGACCTTATTAACCAGTATTCTGCTAACAGTTAAGGAAAGCTGTATAGGTACTATTTAGTCTAGAAGTAGGAAAGCAGGGTAAGTCCCAGTGTGCAAACTTTACATTAGTTATCGTTTATCTCTGGCAAACCGCTCCTGCTGCCTTTACATCACAAGCAGATTTGCAAAGTTTTCCGTATATCAGGTTTTGTTCCTCAGAGGGAGGCAGATGAAATACATCACAGTCATCAGCATTTCAGAGTTTGCTGTACAGGCTGTCAAATCTAGACAGCAAATAAGCTTTTCAAAGACTATTTGGACAGAACATAAGAACCCTTCAAGGTTTTAACGACACCTCACTAACGCTGAAAGAATTTGGATCTCAGATCAAACCATTCATCAGCTTAGCACGAGTTATTTTTTCCAGACTGCACACAAAAGGGAAGAGGGTCTTACCACTGTCCAGGGATGGCAAGTGAAATGTCTGTGGTTTTGACACAGTTGAATTCCTCCTGCTTTCTTAGTAGGATCCATAAATCTCATCTTGCCAGGATGCATGTCTCTCCCAAAGGAAGCTGAGAAACTTATGTGGTAGATCTCAACCTCCCAAAAATAATGGGCTAGACATTTCCAGGCATTTATTGAAGACTCCAGCACAGTTCCACTAAGTCAGCACTGCAGTATTCTGGGCTCAGTTTTACTTGCTGGAAAGCAGGCGGGGTTACAGACACTTTTACCTCTGTTGTTGGAATAGTTTTGACTTGAGGCAATATTAAGGCAGTCACCAAGTCTTGGTGTTGTGTAAGATTCTTGTCTTTCTTGAAAGGAGTTAGCAGCCAAACCTAAAGCTAGCCTGTGATGACTATGTGAAAGTATTTTTGTGCCCTAGTTCTAGTCTCTTACTCACTATACCTGATTGTGGATTCCCCTCCATGTTACTATTTAAGTTTGGGGCAAAATCTTCAACTAGAAAAAGAGAATGGCAGCGGGGGGAAGGGAGCAAGGTTGGTGTTCTTAGCAGTTCATAGTTTCGTTTGCCTCAAATAGTTTAGCCTGTTTGAAAAAGAGATCATAGCACTTACACCTACTCCTCTCTAGGGATCAAGCTGTTTCATGTGCTCAGGTAATCTACCCAATGCATGCACTGGAAGCAGGAGGAGGAGAACAGGGAACAGAAAACAAGACCTCCACTTCAGTATTGACTGGTTTGAAAGCCTCTCCCTTCAAGCCTGAAGAGCAACTGCATGACTCTGAGGAACGGCACACAGCTGTTCAGACCTCCATGGGAAAAGGCACAGGAGAAGGCCTTGCCATCCTAGAAAGTACAACAAAAGTGAAGTTAGAAGTACACTTACTTATGTTTCCCTCGGGAGAGATGACTACATAACATAAGGGTAAGCTTTATTTTCCCCCTCCCTCCCTCCTCAGAAAGATCTGCTTGATAAAATCCCTCTAGAGTGCACAGTGGTCTATCTAAAGAGCACAAAGGTGTATCATCAAGAACACCTGAGACACTTCAGTCATCACAGTCAAGACCAGCTAAGTTCCAGCACAAGTTTCACCCACCTTTTTGGTTTCACTAGCCTCCCTGTATAAGAAAACTGCTGTTAGCAAGAAGAAAACAGGGTATGCAAGAGTCAAGAGAGCCAGGTCTGAATCACTGTCCCCATTATTTTGGGGATTCCCATTATGTTCTTTAAATGTGTTCATCCAGAAGACAGGCTGGGGAATGCTACCTGGCTCTTACTAGGAAGCTGTGAAAGCAGGGGCACAAGCAGGACCAAGTAAACTCTAAGCTTTCTTCTCAGCTTCCCTAAGAAGCAAGCCATTATTTTGGACCAAATGTTTTGGACCCTTCCTCAGCCACTACCACCTTCTGACAAAGGTATCAGTAAATGAGAAATCTGGGGCATACTGCAAGACTTCTCTTTTTTGCTGTTACAACAAAGGACCTTTGTAAAGAAAGAAAAAAAAAACACACATCACAAAACCAAGCCTGTGGTCAGGTTACACTCTTCCCTACAGTGGTGTCCAGTCACGGCCACAAGCGCACATTACAGCACTAGCACTTACATTCCCCTCTTCCACCTAATGATGCTGCTTTTCACAGCAAGGAAGTCTTCAGTGTAACTCATTCTAGGACCTATGTTTATGCAAACCTTTGAGGTTCCAGTAGCATTCTTCAGTGGAGAAAAAAAAAAGGAGCCATCCCTGCCTCCTCACCCAGAGCCACCACAGGGACCTTTTCAGTCCTTTACAGGTCTCAAACCCCTGTCATGCAAGGCTGCAAAAGAGGTGGTGGGAAGGTATGGCCTTACACTGATGGCAGGAGCAAGGTCTGCTATAGAACTTTGATCTACAACCTGGAGGTGCCTGATCCTCATCACTGTCTAGGGATTATTCCTGTGCAGCTTTTTTGCCATGTTTAATTACTGCTTTCAGCTACAATGGATGATCGGACAACTAGCTTGGCATCGAAGAGGCCTCGTTTGTATGGCAAGAATGAGTCAGACCATTAATACTGTTAGTCTTCTAAACAGTCTTTTTTTAAACAATGGTAGATAGTGCTAGAGGTGCGATTAGTAGAGGTTAGCCAGAAGTTTACAAGAATAATAAACCCGAAGAGGTGAGGCTTTCATGGTGATTGATAAGAATAAGTTATGCAGTTTCACAATAGTATTGTAATGCTATGATACAGCAGATTTATGTGCTACAGTGAGATGCCAAATAAAACAAGTATTAACAGACAGGTAGGTAGATATGCAAAATCAGAAGTACAGGATGAGGTTTTTTCAATTTAAAAAGAGACACTGTTGGTTAATACATCTGATCTAAATACAGTACATACCTTACCCACATTCCAGAGTTCTGCTTTAAGAAGGAAGGGAACCCTTGTACGAACACAGGTTTCCAAGCAGAGGAACATTATTAGGGTGCCACTGTGTAGAGATATTTTATCTTGACAGAATAATCAGGTCTTAATTTAAGAGAGAAATAACTTTAGCCAATTTTAGCCATTTGCCTGTGGAAAGTTGCATCTCATTTTGTGCTTCCTATTCCTTCTGATCATGTAATAGCTGAAGGCTAAGTTGCTCCACGTAGAAAAGTCTCCTACAATACTTCTTAGCATTTTCTAGTAGTTAAGATACAGCATTTCTTGCAAGATTATGACACTTAGAGCAACAAGGAATGACAGGCCTACTTAAGTGTGCAGTAGGAGGAAGCTACTATTTTAAAGAAACTGCATTTTCTCCTGTGCGGCCTGAAAGCAGAACTTTGGACTAGACATTTTGAAAAGAATTATCTGTGGCCTGTGAAGGCTTCCTTATCGCAAATGAAAATATTGTCTCCAGGATACAGTGCCATTTAAGTAGGCCAGAGGAATGTTAATCTTTTTGGACAAGTGGATCAAGTATATTCCTAGTGATGTTAGTGAACACTTTTTGCCTTAGGTAACTACAAGTGCCCAAAACAGATGTCAAGGTCGCCTAGGAGCTGATGCTAATAAGAATGAGCTAGTTAACAGAAATCAACATTCCAGTTGTGAGTGCAGCAGACTTTTCAGCTCACTTTTCCTATTAGTGTAATCAGATTGTATTAATGATTGAACTACAACACATGCTGAAAAAATCTCTAGCATATTTCTTTCGGTAGGCAGTAGCATTCTTAGGCTACTTAGTTTTAGCAGCAGCTACACAGCCTTCTGTACCAACAACTGCATGGAAGCTAGTTCGCAGCTGAGGATCAAGATCATGATTTAGGTAAGTGGCTGATAGAGGAAGTGTGGTAAACACTTAAAGCAACAAGCTTAAAGCATTTCAGAAAAGGAAAGACACAAAATGTGAGATGATTAACAGTGAATCAACAACAAGGCACATTCCCCTTCAGGGGAGGTAACTCAAACCAAATCGGTGTCAGATTACTTTATATGAACAAACTTTCAAGTTAATGAAAGAAACTGGCCTTACAAGTTTACAAACAGTTCTACTTAAGAGTCAGAGACAAAAATCTAAGCTGACATGTTAAAGTTTTGCGTAGTTTCATATACTGTAGTAACAGTTCCGCTAAAAGAAGTCACACCTTCAACACGTCCTAAGCTACCAAAAGACACTAAGTTCTTGTCCTTAAGATAAGGAAATACAATGCAAGACATGGTTGTCCAGAACATGCCCTAAAAAACAACTCCCCAAAGAAAAAAATACTAGGAAAGGAGAACACTGCTTTGTACCTTTGTTGTAACCCTGTATGTGATATATGTCTCCATTGTGCACACATGTTTTTTGGGATCATCAACAGTAACAAAGAGGTCTCTAGTTTCTCCATCCAAGTCATCATCCAGCTGCAGTCTGTTGAGGAGAGATGAGGAGGAGGCTGGGCTAGAAGTGTCCACAGGTGTGCCATTGGGTAGACTGAGATCCTGTATTGGAGAGGAAAAAAGCAGCAGGTTTTTAATAAATGAACAGATTCACTGTAAAGCACAGTATTCTCAAAGATGCCATTGACAAGCTTCCCTGATATATTACAAGGGCTATTTATTTCAGCAGCTCCAAGGATCACCCTTTTCCAGGACACCTGGGCAATCCCCTAAGGTCTGGGCTTTGAGCATTAGGTTGTTCTACTGTTCCACAAGTTGAAGACAACACACATTACCACCATACCTCCCCTTAGCATGGCGCAACCTGGTTTCTATCCATGAGGAAGTAGAAGTACTGCTGAAACAACAGTTCCTGGTGAGGCAGAACCAACTTAGACTCTGAAAACAAAACAGCTAGGCAAATCAAGAGACCTACTTATAAGACAGGCTTCAGGCAAAGTGGCAACAGTTCAGTTGACTGGAATGCAGTCAGCCTTCACCTCTGGAGACTCCTATAGTAGAGGAAGGAGGGCAAACTTGTATCAGAGGCTTCCCATCCAGTCCATTAACTTCCAAAAATGTTGACAGCAGTCAGACTGAATTGCCATCACTGCACTACAGGACAGTCACAGATCACACACTCTAGCACCAGTGTCTATGCATACCTCCTTTTTGGAGTCCTAATGCCAATGAAAACATTGTGTTTTGGTCAGAGAGGTCCTCATTCCCATCCTCCCAACTCCAAAAGTATCATGCAGTGCCTAGGGAAGACAGAGGCTAAAAGAATCAGCAAGCGGCTATTTTAGGAAGAGACACATAAGGGTTTGGGAAGTCTGTAATTCCTTGAAACTGACTCAGCAGCGGGGGGGCGGGGGGGGACGGGACGGGGACACGGACCTTTATAGCCAGCTTGGTACATTCCCACACCTTCAAGTCTCACACTTTGATATAGACCAACTACTCCATACAGCCAGTGGCTACTGCACTTTGCATAAGCATCACAGCAACTTCACACGTGTTCCCTGCTCTGGTTTTGTAGCAGAGGGAGCTGACAACATGTGACAAGTTGTACAATATGTAGGAACATCTGACAACAGTATTAGAAAGTCCCAAAGATCCATGGCTCTTCTTTTCAGAGAAGAGAGGAGGTTTCTTGTTTGTTTGTTTTAACTAGTAGCACAAGAATAGATTTACTCACAAGGTGTTTCCCTTGTAAGGACAAAGGTTCCTCTGGTTGCTAGACAGAGAAACATCACTACAGCTAAGCAGCACATTATCTAGAATTGTTTTAGAATTACTGCTTACCCCCAGCTTCACACAGTCTTTAAGTGGCTAAATGAAACATGTAACCTTAGCAAAGCAATCCTGTTTGGGTAAGATCCTCTTTGTCCATGAGTACTCCTTACACAATTGTGGTTTATGTTCCAGCTGGTAGTCCCTGTCTTCAGAAGAAGTCCTCCTTTGTTCAAGGGTTCAGAATTACAGGTGAGAGCTTCAAGTTAAAGCTACTTACGAAGGTCTGCCTTTGACAATGGCCAAGAACAGGGCTAAGTTTCTACCAGTCTGTCACAAACCCATCATGGGAGTACTGGGATTTTACAGACAGCTCTCTGCCTGTTGCAGCCCTTTAGAACCGTGGTAGTACTGCTCTTCACCTTGAGGACTGCCTTCTGAAACAGGGAAGATAATACTTTAGCCTAGACTTTTTGGGAAAGGGGTGATCTAAACTGTTGTCTACTAAACAGAGAGGTTAGATGCATTCTCCCAGCTAACGATCAGAAGTGGTTGCCAACAGATGAAAGATTTCAGATTTAACTGGCAAGTGAGCAAGTATTGGAAGGTAGGCACTCAAACGCTCTCTTAAGAGGGCAAAAGAGCAGGATAATCATGGCACAGCTTGCCAGCTCATACATAAGGTAGGCAGCTTGAACCACACAAACATCTGGCTCAGACTCAACATAGCAGGAGCGTGTACAACAGGAAGAAGCAATGCTACTATAGCTCAGCAGATAAGGAGTTCTGCTGGAGTTACACAAACAGAATAAGCAGAAGACAGGATAAGATTAGCAACAGGAGATAGCTTCAGAAAATCTGCAGTTCAGCTAGAGAGGAGAATTTGGCTGAGCAGAGTAAAGAGCAAAGCAAACCCTGGGACACTGCAGTAGCTGTAGACAAATCTGTTCCTGTTTCCAAAAGGAAAAGACAGCTCTTCGTTGCACATGTGCAATAAGCATTAGTATAAGACAAGTTGTGCCAGAACTGCAGTCAGTCAAATTCTAAGCTTCCAGTATGGAAATGAATTAACTTGCAGAAACAGCTTAAGCCTGGTTGCACAGGAGATCTCAAAAGCTTCTAACAAAACCCTTCCGAAAGAGCGCTTAAAGAACATGATGGAATCAGCTTAAAATATGAAAACTCTGCATCAGGTGTCAGAACAACTGGAGGAAGGACCAAAGATGGAGCTTGCAGCCACTTGCATGAAGCTAGCGACTTTCCTCACCAATTCTGTTGGGAGATAACAATATCGTACTAGCATGTCTTGCACTTTTTAAGCAGGGCACAGGTTTGTTTGTGAAGGCTGGAATCCACTTCAATCTACTTGAGTGTGTTCTTGCAGTCATGGGTCCTGTGGAATGTCTCAGGTCTTAAAATAAAGACTGTGATAGTTTTACCTGATTGAGCCTTGGATGAAACACCCAGATCTAGATCAAGTAAAGCTTCTAGACCAACTCTGGTTAGGAGCAGGAGGGCTGCTAGCTGGGGAGGGGGCGGGGGAAAGGACAGAGGATGTGTACACTGGAAGTACTACTGTGCTATACTGCCTCATCTGCGATGGCAGAGCCCTCCCCGGGCAGTCACAGCTGGCATCATGCCCTGCTACTTGGCCAGTTTTCAGTAGCTGAAGGCCAAGTTAGAAGCTAACTATTCGTCCTTCTTAGTGGGTGGAGCCTCCCAACTAACTGCACAAGGAACAATG